CCGATTATACTCTATTGAATATCCCGATTGGTACCCGAGTATCCTCCTTTTGCGCCATCTTTTGGCAGCAATCGGGTTTACCGATTGATGAAAATTTTTAAAAAAATAGGGACCAATCAGGTGGAATTCGGTCACCTGATTGGTTTCCAATTTGACATCGTTCGACTAGTGATTATGATGAGAAATACACAACAACTAAAACTTCTACAGCACTGTACTGAACATATTAGATGCGATTTGTTATATAATGAAATTATTGATCTTTTATGTAATCACAAAGTTGGTTGGAAAGGAGGTATTCATTAAACTTTAGGAAAGGAATTTGTAACACGTGTTGCAAATGCTCTTTGGTACATACATTGATTCATATTTAAAATTATTACAATTTTGTTTCTGTCATATGCCTGCATTTTTTAAAGAATTGGCAACATATGCAAGTGATAATACTGATAGAAATACATATAACCTCACATATTACACTAGCCATCACAAAAAAGAACCCATTTCACATCAGAAGCTGAATCTTTTAATTGAATCATTGAAACTCTCTATAGGTCAACCTTGGGTAAATAATAGTGAATGGAATAATACTATTTCTGCTATATTTCTTTAATAGAAATTATGCGAAAATATAGTGAACATTTTGTAAAAAGTAAAACAATAATGGCTGCCATTCATCATAATGATGAATCAGCACGTAATCCAGCAAATAATGCTAGTATGTTTCGAGTTCTTGGTTGTAAAGAAGATGATCTTAATGAACAATATCAAGAGTTAAATGATATGATTTTACGATGTAGTTTTTATCAATATATGGATATTTATTCTTATCTTTCTATAGACATTATGACACAGGTCAAAAAGTGAAAAATCAGGTACCAATCGGTCACCAATCAGGTAGCTGATTGGTGCCTGATTGGTGACCGATTGGTGCCTGATTGATGCCTGATTTTTCACTTTTCAACCTGTGTGAAGCGTTATCGATATCTTAAAAATCTTCAATTAACTTGTCCAATTGGAATTTATAGGTAATGTAACTATGTAAGCTATAATTATTTGTAATTATTTATTAATATTTTCAGTGTTGGCCTTTTGGACTATTGGACTTTTGGACTATTGGACTATTGGAATATTGGACTTAGTCCATTCCAATTCCATTAAAATTTGGACTATTGGACTATAGACCTTTTCCAACAGCTATAAGTTTTATATGTAATTTTAGCAATTATATAAATAATTATAAAAGTTATAATTGCAAATCATTTTTTATTGATATTTATTAAAATTTTTTATTGAATTCATCAATTATGCTTAGCATTTTTATTGATATCTAAAATTTTTTTAATTGTTACCTAAAATAAAAGCTGACAAATAATTGGGTTCTCCTAAACTTTCAATAAAAATATCTTGAAGTTTCCATTTAGAATTTTGATCTCTAGCAGGATGAGGCAAATTTGATATATTTGTAACATTAATTTCAAGTTCTTCATCATCATCATTACTATCACTTTCATTATCATTATCATATTCTTCATTTGATTTATCTTCCAACATATTAATCCATCTTGACACTACACTTCTCCAATTACTTTCAGTTTGAACATTAGCATCTGTTTCAATAAATTCACTTGATGATTCATCATCTGACACATTCAGATCATCTGATGCATTTGGATCTTCATTTTCATTTACTGGAAGTGCAACACCTGTACTTCAAAACTTTAATGCATCTTCATCAATTTTTTTTTGTTTAAGTTTTTGTTGCATTGAAGCATGTAACTGAGTCATTCCTAAAATCTTCTCATGCTAAATAATTTAAAAAAATATTAATAAATGATATAATTATATTTATTATAATTAAATTACTAATAAAAATACTTACTGCTAAACGATTTCGCCGCTTTGAGTGTAACCATCCCATTGTGAAAAAAAGTCTTTCAAGAGATGCTGTAGTTACTGCAATTGAAAAAATACGTTCAGCAACACGATAAAGTTCTTTAGAATAACCATGAACATAATTCCAAAATTCTAAAACATTATTATTAAATTGTCGTGAAGTTGCATCATTATAGGGATATTTTTTTGTCGATAAGCCTCTAATTCAACTAATATTACAGTCGGATCTTCATTAAACCAAGCACAATAGTAATAAGTAACCCATTTACCAAGATGTGGAAAAGACAAAGTTTCAATTTCAGGATTAAATTTATCAATACGATATCCTGGATAAAGTAAAAATGCCAATAATAAAAGAGGTTGCTCCCAATCACTCCACCTTTTTTCAAGTTTTTTTAAAAGCTTGTTTTTAAGATTATTATTATCTAATGAATGTAAAACTATAACTAAATTGCCAAAGTAATGGAGAACATCATGAAGTTGTGAATTATGTCGTTGAAGTTGATTAAGTGCAGCACAATAGGGAAGTACTAATGTTTCCAATTCTTTAAGCTTTTTCCACCAATTATTATCAGAAATGCAGTTAAGATATTCGTTTGGAAAATCATAAAGATCATCACTTTCTTGTTCTTCAATTTTTGTTGCTAAATTCTAATAATTTTAATTTTTTTAGTAATAGAATAATATAAATTTTATTAAAAAAAATCAAGACTTACTTTTAATGCAGATTTTGATTTCAATAAACTTGCAAAACAATAATATTGGGAATTCCAACGAGTATCATTAGGTACAATTAATGCATAATATTTATTTTTATACATTTCTGCTTTCTCTTCTTTTAATTTTCCAATCCATACTTTTGCACGGTTAAAAAAACTAGCAATTGCAACAGCTTGCTCACCAACTTTTGTAAGAGAATTTGATTCTTTAAATATATCACCAACACATAGATTCATTTGATGAGCAAAACAGGGTAAAAATAGTTTATCACGATAAAGTAATTGAAGTTGTTTCCTATTAATAATATATTTATAAATTTAATAATTAAATTAATTAATTAAAATTAATTAATTAAATATAATTAAAATTAAACAATAAAAAACTGAAAATACACACCTTGCAGAAGCATTTTCTGATGCTGAATCTGTAACTAGCCCATTAACTCTTATATTTTCTTGATTCAATTCTGCAAAAAGTTGTTGTGTAATTCGAATAATCTCATTGGCATTACCTCTATTACCGCCGCAATTGATTGCTTTCCAAATAATCATTTCGCCTGTAGATGTAATAAGAACTATACCAAAAATATGTTGTCGTGCCACATTTTTCCACCCATCAAAAGCGAGGGTTACACCAGACAAATCATTTTTAGCATTATCAAGTAATTTTGTTGAAACTTCGTCAGTTGCATCTTTTAAAATACGTCCTGATAATACTTTTCGAAAAGGCAATGCAATCATTGGATTTAACCAATGAAATAAATTTTTAACTGCAGGATCCTCAATCCATCGGAATGCAAAGCCACATGAAACAGTTACATCCAATAAAAGTTGTTCAAGTTTCTGTTCTTGAATAATTGTTAATGGACAAAATATATAATTATCCAGTGTAATCTCATCCAAATTTGATGTTTCTTCTTCAAGTATTGGATTATCATTGTCATCATCATCAGATAATCCATCATCAGATGATTCTGTATGACATCTTTTTTTAAATGGTTTACTCTTCGCACCATCTTTTGCTGCGTCATCAAGAAGTTTTGCTATTTGTTGTGAACTATATTTCTGCGCAAAATTTGGACAGTTTTTAATATGACGTGCACATTCTTTTTTAGTATTTGTAAACTTTAACTTATATGCTTCATCTTTTCCAATAATACTAATACAAGCTCGACATACTGCATACTTGTTGCTTTTATTTACCTTTTTTGCTGCGTGCAAAACTACAACATATGGTGTTAAAAAATGTGGTTGACGGCCCATAATATTATGATAATTAAAATTAGAAATGAGTACCCTTATCTTTTCTTTGTTTTATTTTGAAGATGATTGCAAAAAGAGATTAAATAAAAAAATTTTTTTTTTTATATTTTTCAATTGATTGATCATCCTTTTAACCAATTATGGTTAATTTACAGCACAAATTTATGTACACGTATGCTTTTTTAATTGTAAAGAATTAAAATTAATTTTAGCCGGCATTATAAAATTAGCCAGAATTATGGTATATAAAATTTAATTCGGCCAAATTTATGAGGACATAGTCCATTTGAATTGGAATTGGACTGGATATCTCCATTAGGTCCAAAGTCCAATAGTCCACTATTGGGAATTGGACAATGTCCAATTCCAACACTGTTGAATAC